CTTTCCTTTCATGCACAGTCTTCTAGCCGTTGGATGTTTTTACACGTTGGATTCATAGCTGTTGGATGTTGCTTGAGATCTTCTAAGTGTTAGTCGGGCTCTGATCAAGCTCTTCTGATGTGTTGGATTCTGATGCCTTTCTGAGTTCTGATGACTTTCTGATGAGTTGAGTTCTGATGTCTTTCTGATCTCCGACTGAACTCTAACTCTGACTCTGATAGGCCCGCTGATGAGTACCTCTGATCTGTAACTCTCATTGGTTATCAGATGTCTAAGCTTATCAGCAATTCTCATGGTGCAACTCTGATGGACTTCTGGTAAGAGAACTCTGATGGAGCAGTTCTCACAGAGCAAGTCTGGTCGAGCAGTTCTGATGCACTTCTGATTTGATCCAAAACAGAGCAACTCTGATCGTTGACTACACTAATACTTACAATTGAAAATTCTAATACATAAAATCTAATTTGGGGGTACTCTATCTTTCTAATCCTATAGCATCATCAAAATCTAATTACATTTATTCCTTACATGTTGTTATAGGCGAACTCGACTAGAGCCAAATGTTTGTCCCAACTTCCTTGGAACTCCAGAGCACACGCCCTAAGCATGTCCTCCAATATCTGTATCACTCGCTCGGATTGTCCATCCGTCTGTGGATGAAAAGCCGTGCTGAACTTCAATCTAGTACCCAAAGATGCTTGAAACTTGGGCCAAAATCGAGATGTGAATCGTGGATCCCTATCCGAGACAATGGATATCGGGACTCCATGTAGTCTCACAATCTCCTCCGTGTATAGCTTTGCCAACCTTTCAAGAGGGTAAGTGATGTTAATAGGCAAAAAGTGTGCACTCTTGGTGAGCCTATCAACTACTACCCATACCGCATCATAGTTGTTCACGGTCCGCGGCAACCCCACCACGAAATCCATAGTCACATGCTCCCACTTCCATTCTGGAATGGAAAGTGGCTGTAATAGCCCAGCTGGATGCTGATGTTCTGCCTTAACTTGTTGACAAGTAAGGCATCGACTGATGTACTCGGCTATCTCTCTCTTCATACCAGACCACCAGTAACTTTCCTTCAAATCACGATACATCTTCGTGCCCCCCCGGGTGCATGGCATAAGCCGATGAATGAGCTTCCTCTAAGATGGACTTTCGGAGCTCATCATCTGCCGGCACACACACTCGGTCACGAAATAATAAAAGACCGTCATCTCTTTCCCTGAAGTCCTCCACCGGTCCCGCTTGCATGCGTTCCCGGATCTTCATGATTTCCTCGTCAGTTTCCTGACCCTTCTTGATCTCATCAAGCAAGGTAGGTCTCACCTCAAACCGTGCCAATAAGGCACCATTACTGGACACCTCTAGTTGGGCTCTTAATGCCCTCAAATTAGCTATCAATGCCCCAGATGAGCTCTTCCGACTCAAAGCATCTGCCACCACATTTGCCTTGCCTGGATGGTACTCAATCACTAGATGGTAGTCCTTTATCAACTCCATCCACCGTCTCTGCCTCATGTTTAACTCTTTCTGAGTAAACACGTACTTCAAGCTCTTATGGTCAGTGTATATGTGACATGTCTCTCCGTAGAGATAATGTCTCCAAATCTTTAGTGCGAACACCACTGCCCCGAGCTCTAAATCATGAGTGGGATAATTTACCTCATGCTTCTTCAACTGTCGTGAAGCATAGGCGATTACCCTCCCCTCTTGCATTAACACACATCCAAGCCCTTGGATGCTCGCGTCACTATAGACATCGTACCCCATACCCTGTTTGGGTAATGCAAGTACCGGTGCCTCAGTCAATTTCTTCTTCAGTTCAGTGAATCCTTCCTCACATTTTCCATCCCATACAAACTTAGCTTCTTTTCGAGTGAGCTTCGTCAGCGGTGATGCCAAAACAGAGAACTTCTCCACGAACTTTCTATAGTATCCTGCCAATCCAAGGAAACTACGAATTTCCTTGACGTTTTTTGGCCTCTCCCATTCGGTGATGGCTTCTATCTTCTTGTTATCAACAGCAATTCCCGATCCCGAAACCACATGCCCGAGAAAACCAATCTCCTTAAGCCAAAATTCACATTTAGAAAATTTGGCATAGAGTTGCTTCTCCCGTAGTGTCTCAAGAACGAGTATCAAGTGCTCCTTATGCTCCTCCTCACTCTTTGAGTAGATCAAGATGTCGTCAATGAACACAATCACGAATCGGTCCAAGTATTTGTGAAATACTCGGTTCATCAAGTCCATGAATGCCGCCGGGGCGTTTGTTAACCCAAACGACATAACAAGGAACTCAAAATGCCCATACCTCGTGCGGAAAGCACTCTTCGGTATGTCATCCTCCTTAATCTTCAATTGATGGTACCCCGACCTCAAGTCAATCTTTGAAAACACGGTTGCTCCTCGTAGTTGATCAAACAAGTCATCAATCCTAGGCAAAGGATACCTATTCTTGATTGTGACCTTGTTCAGTTGACGATAGTCAATGCACATTTGAAGTGTTCCATCCTTCTTTTTCACAAAAAGGACCGGTGCTCCCCACGGGGAGTGGCTTGGTCTGATGAAACCGTTATCCAAAAGCTCTTGCAATTGGGTTTTTAACTCGTTAAGTTCAGCGGGTGCCATACGGTATGGCGGTATGGAGATTGGTTTGGTGCCGGGCTCGACTTCGATCACGAACTCAATCTCCCTATCGGGTGGAAGTCCCGGTAAGTCTTTTGGAAAGACGTCCCGATACTTGCATACTACCCTAACATCATCAATGCTCGTCTCTTCTTTGGTTTTGTCCACCACATACGCTAGATATGCGTGACATCCCTTCCTCATCATATTCTTAGCCCTCACAGCGGATATGATACAACTATTGGATTTTGCCCTATCCCCCTCGAAACGTAAGGTTACCCCTTCATTGCCTTCGAGTTCAAGTACTTTCGTGTAACAATCGACCCTAGCATGATGCTTCTCAAGCCAATCCATCCCCAGGATTGCATCGAACTCAATCATACTCAGCGGCACGAGATCACACGACAAGTTTTGGCCCTCCACTTCCACCTCACACGATGGATAGTGGCTATCTCTCTCGATGTCTTCCCCTAGGGGTGTGGATACCAATAGGGCTTGAGCCATCGGTACCAGGGGTACGTTGAATCCCCCGGCGAATGCCTCACTCACAAATGATCGTTGCGCCCCGGTATCGATGAGGATTCTCGCACATCTCCCATTAATCTTTAGTGTTCCTACATTCATAAGCCATGTAAGATACCTCTCTAACATACCGACCAATCCTACGAAGAACATAATGCGAAATTATGTCCTTAAAGTGGGCAAAATCCCTCAATTATGGTTGACGTTCGCAGTTGAGATATAAATTGACACCATCTCACCGTTTTGATCATATCTCTTCACATACTTAACCAAATCGTTCGATTCAAATTCCATCATTTAGACAATGAAAATATCTACAACTTTCATGAAGACAACTTTTTCATTTGACGAACACCTTGGGGTGTACTCGGTCGGGTAACATGCCATACCCGGTCGGGTATGAGTTCCAGTGGATAATCTCCCACTCTACCCGACCTGGTAGCAAGTCGGGCCACGATATTCATCAGACCCGGTCGGGTACATCATAAGACCCGGTCGGGTTTGTGTTCCAGTGGGTAATCTCCCACTCTACCCGGTCTGGTAGCATGTCGGGCCCAAATTTTCTCATCAGGCCCGGTCGGGTACACCACCAGACCCGGTCGGGTAGGTGTTCCAGTGGGTATTCCAGTAGGATTTTTCAGTAGACCCGATCGGGTGGCCCAAAATGCCCGGTCGGGTATGTGATCCAGAATGCTTACGAGGGCAAAAACTTGTCCTACCCCGGTCGGGTTTATTGCCCTACCCCGGTCGGGTAGTAACATGGTTTGCTCTCTTTTCCCATTTCGATCTTACGTTTGCTCTCACCTGGATTCTAGGATTTATAACTTCAATTTATGGATGAGGAATGGGTAAAATACGGGAAGTTAAGCGGTCGTACCTGCAACCGAATCTGGGTTAGCTCGGGCATCCGCCTCCGTCATTGCGTAGACCCTTGCTTGGGTCCTTCCTTGGTTAACGGACGGCGCATTGCTCGTGCTTGCTCCCCCTTGGCCCGTACTGGCATGCGGTGCTCCGGTTCGGTTCCTACTTGCCGTAGTAGGGCCGCTTGATCCCGCCCCTCGGTTCCCACCAAGTTGAGGGCAGTTGGGCTTGATATGCCTTGTGCTCCCGCATTGGTAGCACCGTGGTGGATCACGACACTTACCGGCGTGGCTCCGGTTGCAATTCCTACACCTTGGCGCAGTTGACGCTTGTGAGCCCGAGTTGTGCCCGCTGAAGGCCGGGTTCCCTTTTGATGGCGGTGCCGGTGCCCTGAACGATCCGCCTCCCCCATGGTTCCCCTTCTTGTTGGAACCTTGGGGGCCATGGCTTTCCCACTTCCTTTTCTTCGCCTCCTCGGCATTCCTTAGCTTTCTTTCCTCCCACTCCTTCTCTCCCTTCAGGCCTTGTTCAACCACTTGACTAAACGTCATATTAGGCAATTGTGTTGCCCTCTCACGTATGTCAAGGTCCAAGGCATCCCAGAAGTGGTTCACCATCCGGTTCTCATCACATATGTACTCCGGTATGAATTCGGCAAGCTTTCTGAACTTGTGCTCAAGTTCCTTCACCGTGCATGCACCTCCTTGTGTCAAGTTTGTATACTCCCTCCTCTTCATGTTTACCTCGAAGTCGGAGTAGTATTGGTTGAAGAACTCCTGCCGGAAGTTCTCCCAAGTGACGGCCTCGCCGTACTTCCCTTTGACTCCGTCCCACCATGTGGACGCCATGCCTTCAAGCAATCTTATTGCCACCCTCAGTTTCATGTTGGGTGGCAGCTGCATGTCAAGGGCCGCTTCGTTGAATCTTTTGATCCACTCGGCCGCCACGGAGATGTCCCCCGTTCCGTCAAACGGTTTACATCCCAAGTCTCTCGCCTCCTTTAGGTACTTTGAGATTCTTATGATAGGAACCTCAGCACCTCGACCTCCTCGGAGTTCAATGCTCTCCCTAGGAGTCGCGCGGCTTCCTCTCCTCGAAGCCCCTTCCAAAGCACGCCTTGCCCGGCGCCTTTGGCGATCTTGTTGGTATTGCCGGAGCAATTCCTCAATCCGTTCAAGAGCGTTATTATCATCACTCTCATCACTAGCATCGTCGTGTTCCCCATCATATGGGGTCTCAACCGGCTCAGTTCCCGGTTGGTAAGTTGAATCCTCCTCGGACTCATAGTGTTCATCTATTGTTTCCACGTGACCGTCACTCACGGTCAGCGAGTGGCCTGCACGGCCCTGTCCCCTAGACTCTCTTGATCCCCCCCGACTGCCACGTTGGGATCCTCCCAGTGCCTGGCCAGTCGGGTTCCGTCGAGTAATTCTACCGGTACGTTCCATTTCTGAAAGAAGTTTAGAATGAGCCATTAGACTCGTATCAAATGTCAAGTGACGGATAGGTACTTAAAGACATCTTTTGGCTTAAATCACCGCCATACCAATTGTTAAGGGTACCATCTTAACAATTAGAGACCTTGCAACTCAAGTACCAAAAGTTCTATAAGTACAAAACTTTATGCTCATGGGTTTCAAATTCGTTTTTCAAAAAGAGATTTTGAAGCTTCATTATGAAGTTTACGGACTAAGGCTCTGATACCAATTACATTGTCACGCCCCGGACCTACCGGACACGTCAACAACCCGCCGTACAGTACGAATAGTCAACCGCAGTCCAACTCATCCATACTATACTAGGCGTCTTGAATACCATTCACACATAGTACATCCATAAACAATCATAACGTAAAATATTTAATTAAGCAGCGGAACATAATTACAAATATTCAAGCCACACGTGGCAACCACGGGCATACAAGCCCCTAAATAAATATTCGAAATAATATCCATGAGCATTATTTAAATTGTTTTCAAAACAGAAACAGGAGAAGTACGAACCCCGCCTTCCTCCTTGAATTCCCCGAAGCAACGAGCGGTAGTAGCAAGCTCTACTCCCTACCTGAAACTGTGAGGTGGCCTCCCCCGTGAAGGGGAGGTCAGTACTTGGAAGCATTTGACAAGTACAATGACAACTATACTAAGTATAATCAAAGTTTCAATTTCCAAGACCCTCAATCCAAGATGTTATTCATTTGTACTTAACTCATGTTCCTTCATGCTAGAGCTCGGCTCATAGTCATGCTAAATTGTGCTAGAGCTCGGCTCATAGTCACACTACATTCGCTAGAGCTCGGCTCATAGTCATACTAAAATTGTGCTAGAGCTCGGCTCATAGTCACCCTACGTTTGCTAGAGCTCGGCTCATAGTCATACTAATTTGTGCTAGAGCTCGGCTCATAGTCACCCTACGTTTGCTAGTGTCACGCCCCGGACCGCAATCCAAGCACGTGTACAACCGCCGTATAATCAAGTGACGTCACCCGCGAGTCAACCTCACTTAATTACACAAGGCGTTCGAGAATATAATCCATCCATACTCAGTAGTAGACATACATAACAACATCACATTTAAACCAATGAATAGCGGAAATATTCAACGGTAAGTCATAAGCCACAACCGGCCAACAACATGGGCATGCAAGCCCCAAAAATAGTTTATAGTAGAGTAAATATCCATGAGCAAGTGTTCAGTAGTTTGAAAGAAAATAAGGAAGCACGAACCACGTCTTCCCGATATGATACCACCCGTGAGAAGGTGCAAGTAGCAAGCCCTAGCTTCAACCTGAAAATGGTGGGGCCCCCCGAAGGGGTCAGTACAAGTACCGAGCGAGTAGCAGGCTAAATATAGAATAACTAGCGTTTCAAGTATAAGACCCAAACATAGGGTGATACTTAAATAAATAGTCTTTCCCCCAAGTTATGAAATACTTATTAGTATATATATACTTGGAAAATATCCGATCCGTAGATCACCATTTTATTTGGGAAAAATAGTAATAGTCAATATTCTTGACTAAAGACCCCAACCCACCCATATACCTATGAGTGTATAGGACTCCTCCTTGTCCCTAATTGTATATCATAATCTATGAGTTTTAGGATCAAAATCCTTGGATACTCCACCGGTTTGTGAGTGTTAAGGACTCATAAGTCCTAGGGTCCTCCACCAAGTTTTGAGTGTTAAGTACTTTTAAGTACTAGGGTCCTCCACCAAGTTTTGAGTGTTAAGTACTTTTAAGTACTAGGGTCCTCCACCAAGTTTGAGTGTTAAGGACTTTAAGTCCTAGGGTCCTCCACCAAGTTTTGAGTGTTAAGTACTTTTAAGTACTAGGGTCCTCCACCAAGTTTGAGTGTTAAGTACTTTTGAGTACTAGGGTCCTCCACCAAGTTTTGAGTGTTAAGTACCTTTAAGTACTAGGGTCCTCCACCAAGTTTTGAGTGTTAAGTACTTTTAAGTACTAGGGTCCTCCACCAAGTTTTGAGTGTTAAGTACTTTTAAGTACTAGGGTCCTCCACCAAAATATTTCCCTATGATCAACCTCCTATCAACCTAGATAGAGTCTATATCATCCTTAGTTACTCATAACTAATCCAATACATAAATCTTATGTATCAAAATCCATGCAAAGCCATGCATTTATATAAATGTATAATTAACTAACATCAACCGATATTAATTAATCCATCATCCATCGGTCAACGTTGTCGTTGACCGCCAATTCAAGCCTTGTACATATCAACTTAATCATCATATAATCAAGTCAATAATACTCATTGAGCTTCTTTCACACTTCAAGCTAATGTGCATTTTATATAATTTCTCATATCATATTTCATGCATAATCACTTAATTCTTTTCATACAACTTGATAATGTTGGCTAATCACATGTTTAAATATCTTTTAAACATCATTATGAACACATATAACATTTATTTAGGTAATCTCATAATTAACCCAAAAGTTATAAGATATTAAGCCGTCCACTCACCTTGAGCTAGCGTTTTGAAGTTTTACCCTTCTTGGTTGAACTCCGTTGAAACTCCGGCGACTTTTGGTCAACTCCGGCGACTACTCCGGCGACTTTCCCAACTTTGTGAAATCACTTGAAATACCCTTTACAAGTCCCTAACAAGGTTTTATAATCATAAAACCCATATTAATACAAATAACCTCAAAAAGGTTATTTTCCGGTGAACCGGTCGTTTTGGCTTCTAAGTCCGTTCTTGGACATAGAATCACTCTCCAACCCATAAATCCATACTTATAACATGTAGAACCCTCTTAAGGATTCTTCACATGATATATATCTCATATGGTAGAAGAAAAATAAAGGAAAAGTTATAATAAGGTCATTACCTTAATTCTACACACTTTTCCTAGCCTTTTTCCTTCTTTAAACTCCCTCTTTCGCCTTGTTTGAGTTTGAGCTCGTGTTCATCTATGGAAAATGGAGTTGCAGAGCTTCCTCTCTCTTTTCCTTTGGGTCTTGGCCGAGTGTGATAGGGGTGGGTGAGTGAGGGGTGTGGTTTTTGTCTCATTTGGACAAATGAGTGTAGGAATGGGGTCTACTAAATGTCAAAGGGTGTCTCCCCCATCCTATCAATGTTTATTCAGCCCATCTAGCACTCATCCAGCCCCTAAAGGTTGACAAATTCGTGGGGTGGCCCCCACTCATGTGGGAGGTCATCCCTTTGTGTCCCGATGTGTACAATCGGTCCCGAAAGTTGTATTTTTCGGACTGTTTTAATCATATTTTATTTTATCAGGTCAAATAAAATATATTATGTGCTCTTACTCATTATGACATGTATAATGAATATACATTCCCCAACTTTAATTTATAAGCCTCCGAAATTCAGTTCGGGCTGTTATCCGTTAAATTACCAGTACCGGTAATTTGGGCCTCTTTTGACCGATCGGTCAACTCTGGGCCTTTCCATGGCCCAAAGGAAATATCCACCACTATATATTTATTATCTAGACCGAGATGAATAAAATATATGGTCTCGGGAAAGTCGGGCGGCCCCCGCTCCCGGTGTGGGCCCCACGCGCAATTTACTATTCACGCGAAAGAATTAATAAAAACTTACAACTTCGTAAATTCGTAAATCATTCCATAAGGTTTATTACATCATTTACTTGAAAGTAAATACATTTGGGGACGGTGTTACAGCTAGAGCTCGGCTCATAGTCATGCTACCACGTGCTAGAGCTCGGCTCATAGTCACGTCAACTAATCCCTAAACCACTTCTTAGTCTAGGTTCCATCCATTTTGAGTAACCCTTAAGGCTTACTCCAAATGTAACTTGAGTTCATAACAATTTGAATATTTCAATTAAATTCCTCATTCAAGTATAACTTGGCTCTAATATCAAAATATCACTTTTATCCTTCCATGACTTTCTTACATGAGGTAAAAGTATATTTATCACAATTTAGTTTATAGTTTACACAACTATTATGTCATTGTATTCATAACACACAATCATACACAATTTGTTCATAAATTTGTATATTATGCATTTTTACTTATAAACAATAATAATCTCATTTAGGCATTTTTGTTTTATTATAAATAAATCATGCCAAACACATATAATTCATTTAGGTAATCTTATGAAATTAACCCAATAATTATAAGCAATATAGTCGGTCATCCTCACCTTAAGTGAGCTTAAGCGTGTTCTACGCTCCGCGGTTGAACTTTGACTAATTCCGGTGAACTTTGACCAACTCCGGCCAACTTTGACCAACTCCGGCGAAACTCCGGTGAAGCTCAAAGATACTCTAAATCAAGTTCCTAACAAGGTTTTAACATCATAAAACCTTAATCAATACACATAACCCTTAAAAGGTTATTTTCCGGTGAACCGGTCGGTTTGGCTTCTAAGTCCGTTCTTGGACTTAGAACCACTCCCCAACCCATTATTCCACACTATTGGCATGTAGAAAAACCTCAAGGGTTCTCCATAAGATATGTATCTCATATGGTAGGAGAAAAATAGAGGAAAAGTTAATATAAGGTCATTACCTTAATCCTTCCACACTTTTAGCACCTTAGCTCTTTTCCTTGGGATTCTTCCTTGAAGAACTCCCTTCAACAATGGAGGAGGAGGGTTGAGAGCTCCCTTGGTCTTGCTGGAAGAGTGCTGGCCGAAATATGAGGGAGGGGGGGTGGTACATGGTCCTTTTTGTCTCAATAGACCAATGAGTGTGGGTGGGAGGCCCACCTCATGTCTCTTTGATCCTTTTCCAATCAACCCAACACACCCCATCCTTCCCCTCTCAGTTCAGCCGCCCAAGAATTGTAGAAATGTGGCTAAATTCGTGGGTTGGCCCCCACCCATGTGGGAGGTCAACCCTTTTTGTCCAAAAGTGTACAATTGGTCCCGAAAGTTGTATTTTTCAGACTGTTTTAAATATTTTTTATTTTATCGGGTCAAATAAAATATATTATGTGTTCTCAACCATTATGACCCTTATAGTGAATATACATTCCCCAACTTTAATTTATAAGTCCCCGAAATTCAATTTCGGGCTTCTATCGGTTAAATTGCCAATACCGGTATTTGAGCCCCTTTTGACCAATCGGCCAACTCCGGACCTTTCCATGGCTCAAATGAGTTATCCAACACCATATAAATATTATCTAGACCAAGATGAATAATTTATGTGGTCCCGGGAATATCGGGCGGCCCCCGCTCCCGGTGCGGGCCCCACGTGTGGATTTACTATTCGTGCAAAAGAACTAATAAAAATTCACAACTTCGAATACTCGTTAACCATTTCATAAGGTTCAATACAATATACTCTTAAAAGTAAATACATTTGGGGACGGCGCTACATTGGGGCTGAAATTGGGGCTGATGATATTGTTGAAATTGATTTTGGAAGGGCTGAGTTTGTGGTTGATGGTTGGGTGGATTTTGAGTGAATTGGGGCTGGTTTTGACTTGGCTGAAAGAGTGGATTATTTTGCCCAATACCTTGCATCCCGTATGTTTGATTTTGAAAAATGGTTTCGGGAGCAGTAGAGGTATTTTGGAAGAGTTGATAAAGCGGAGTCATGTTGATTTGGGGCGTGGCCTGATTTTGAGGAAAATATGGTGTGCGGGAATTCTGAAATCCCGAGTAATTTCTAGGTGAAATAGGCGGTGAAGACTGGGGAGAGGTATTGACATAAAAATCAAGGTTACCAGAAGTGGTTTGGACCTCAGACGTCCCAGCAATTCCAGATGATGTAGTTTCCATGGTTGCGTTCTTCTCAAGAAAGACCTTGCGGTTCTGTCTGGCAAACTTCTCAATCTCAGGATTAAGAAGGACAAGTGATTCTCCCTTCTTTGAACGTGTATGCATAAACAGATCTGACCTGCAAGGTTAGCAGACAAAAAACCTACGAAAAACTAAAAACAAGTCGCTAAAATTAATTAACCCTTAAATCCGACACCGTCCCCGGCAACGGCGCCAAAAACTGATGTGTGTTTTCTCGCACTAAAAACAAAGGATGTAGTAAAGTGGTTGAAAGTACGAGTATCGTCTCCACAGGGACGGACAAAAGGGAAATAAAGATTAATTAAACTTAGCGATTAAAAAGAAATAAATAAAATAAAAGTGCAATTGTGCGAGATTGGTTGATTGATTGAAATAAAACTAATGCTAATGAGCGAATAAAAAGATTTGGTTTTCCTTAATTAACGACTAAGGGAACAGGAATTGATTCCGGGGTTAACCCGATTTCTGACAGAACAGGCCTAATCACATGAATTTAATTTAATTGAGCCTAGCTAATCATTACTAAGTTCTTACCGCTCTCGCGGCGTAGAGTACAATAATTTAGGGGACCAGGCTGATCTCTCATGCGACAGGATCCTAAATTATTGCCAAGACGAGCGAGCTTACGGCCCCTTAATCGCTACTAATCTCTTAGCGAACGATTAAGTGTGTGTGAATGTGTCCTAGAACAAATTAGATCTCTCTTAATTCATTCTACATGCAATTGTAATTCTAGCTGCAGTCTAGGTTACAAGAGATATCAATTAAATTATTCAAACACAAATTAAACGGCATTCATGCGATTAAACCGACAAGAATCTAGCCATCAATCATGATTAACCCCTTCATCAATCCCAAATCCCTAATTAAACTACTCACGCCTCATAATTGACGAATCAAAAGAATTGGGATGAATAGAAATAATTGTCATTAATTAAAGAATTGAACTTACAAAGAATCCCAGGTTCTTGGATTAAACAACGTAAAAAACGCAGATAAACTCGTCCCTAGGCCTCTCTCCAAAGTTCGTAACCCCAAAACGAGGTTATGGAGGCTTTATTTATAGAAAACAGTGAATTCGGGTCGAATTAGGACAAATCGCGGCCAGGCACGGCGCCAGGCACGACCGTGCCTGCGACCGTGCCTGCGGGAGAAATCCTTTTTTTCGCGTCCAGGCACGGCGTGCCTAACTGCCAGGCACGACCGTGCCTGGCCTCCAGTAGCTCCTAGTTTCGTTTTTCATCAGGCACGGCGTGCCTAAGTCCAGGCACGACCGTGCCTGACCTTATCCTTACTTTTCCTTCGTTTTCTTGCTCCAAACGCTACCGGATGCCTACGAAGTCGATCCAAATGCTCTTTCTTCATCAGAATTTCGTCGTGAATCTCCCGGTGACCTCCAAATCTTCCAAATCTTTCTCGAATGCTTCCAAACTCTGCCCGATTGCTTCTCAAGCGCCGATTTCCGGACTCTAACTTCTTCAAATCAACTCCAAATGCAATGAAACTCGATCCAGCGCCTGCTAAACACAACTTGAGCCAAATCTGAGACTTGCAACACCTTAAAGCCAGGAAAACCATCAAAATCCGACCCGAACACGCATCAAATGCGTGTCTAAATACGGACTTATCACAGACACATTAAACATATAATCTATTCGCTCCTTTATTTACTTCTGCGGTCCCACCATCCCTAGAGTTGTTTTTTCTGTTTGCTTGAGTTACACCTGCGGTCCCACCATCCCTAGAGTAGTTCTTTTTTCGTTTATTTTCTTTGAATTTTGCTTGGTGTACACAAATTGTGTGCACCTTTGGTACCCCATATAAATACATCTTATTTTTACCCTTCTTTACCCCCCCAAAATTCTCTCCTCTCTCTCACAGCTCCCTCCTCCCTCCCCTGCGCTGAATTATTTCCGCCCCAAAAAAATCGGGTGCCACATCCGAGGTAGCTACGTACGGACGAATGACGGAAGAGTTTCTTCCTTCATCTTCTACGTTGAAACTCTTCTCAATGGAGCCAAATAAGTGGGTTGATGACTTACTCTTGGATAGCTTCACTTTTGGAGAGCTATGTAATGAAGGTGCAGACCATGGTGGTACGACGGTTGTCGTTGAACTGGATGGTAGGTGAAGGGAGGACGATGAACAAGGCGCAAAGATCGAAGGCTTGAATATGTGTTGTTGTTTTGGTTTTGTTATCTTGATTTTCTTGATTTTGGTTTCCTGAATTTTTGGTGTATTTTGGATATGAAAGGGGCTGTTTGTCTAACAGAGAAGTTTTTAGTGCGGTGTCTGTCTACTGCACAAGGGGTTTCATAGTTGTTTGACCCCATATGTAATTTGTCTGTCTGACAGGCAATGTCATTTGTTTGTCTATGTAGAAAGACATGCAAGTATTGATACAAGACTATTTTGTAGTATGTGTTGATAGTTAATGTAGTTTTTATGTAAAAGTGTGTATAAGTGTTGGACATGTGGTTGTATTTTTGAATGTACACAAGAATTATGTGAAAAACAATTATGCATACTATTGTCTGTGTGGACAGCCATCATGTTGTAATGGATTTCGTTTTACTAGTATAATTTCCCACTTTAAATTGTGCATAATGTTGTTTGTTTGACTATTTTACTTTATTGTTGTGAATTCACTATTCTAATTTTTGAAGCTTTAGTGTCAAACCTTAGTAAAATAATCAAGAAAGACGCCTTTGTTGGTGTTAAACCTTACTGTTAAAGTTTGTTGGAGAAGAAAAATATTAGAGCAGAACTCCTTGGTTGGTCTATCAAAGAGATTAGTCATTCTTAAGGCTGTTCAATAAGATTACCAATTAAAATTCATATTCATATAAGCATTGTACATTAGGGGTTTAAGAAAAAGAATTATAAATTGGCTCCTTATTGATTTTAATCATGAAAGTAAGAAGCTAAATTCAACTTGCTGGTTGTATAAAATAGACTACAACCTTTTTTTGTCCATTTTTTCTTGGACTCATTCGAAATACAATGGTATAACATAATTTTAGTGAAGTTCACTTCTTTTTTTTTGGTAAAATAGTGAAGTTCACTTTGATCAAGAAAGCTACTCCATAAAAGAGGTTTTGACCAAGAAAGGTAAGATGCTCAAATTCAACTTGCTAGTTGTACGTAGAAAGCTGCTCCATTGATTGTTCTCTTTAAGTACATTGCTTAAAGTCGGAATTTATTTACTCTATCAAATGAGAATGATGGGCTTTATTTTAGTATGTCACCATCTCTGATCTTGACAACATTATACATGATGCTGATTGGAAATATATATGTATATGTGTATAATGAATGGATTTATGGAGTGTGAAAGTTTAACTCTTTCCAATTCTCTACTTACTAAGAGTTGTTTTTCATTTTTCTAGACCTAGGATGTCACGCCCCGGATCGCATCCGTGACACGTAGACAACCGTCGTACAACCCAATAAGAACAACGTAGTTCATTCTCATTAAATCATACAAGGCGTCTGATAGATTCTATTGCCAAACCGATTAGTAAACCCATACAATCAACATCAATATATATATATATTAATCAAGCAAATGCGGAAATAAAATATGTTTGATGATTAGCCACACGTGGCAAACATGGGCTCGCAGGCCCTCCCATAGTTTAATAGGAAAACAATGTTCAAATATCCATGAGCAAGTACATAGTTTCAAATAAGAATGGAAGCACGAACCACGTCTTCCTTATTGATGATCAATTGATCACCCTAGGCAAAAGGTGCATGAATAGATCTCTAGCCTTAACCTGAAAAATGTGAGGCCCCCGAAGGGGTCAGTACTCCATAGAAAGTACTAGTGACAAGTAGGCTATATGAGGAATAACTAATGTTTCA